AAAAGTTTGGGAAGAGGGGAAAAGTTTGGGAAGAGGGGAAAGGTTTGGGAAGAGGGGAAAGGTTTGGGAAGAAGGAAAAGGTTTGGGAAGATGGAAAAAGATGGGAAAGGTTTGGGAAGAGGGGAAAAATTCGGGAAGAGGGGAAAAGTTTGGGAAGAGGGGAAAAGTTGGGAAAAGTTTGGAAAGACAGGAAAGGTTTGGGAAGACGGGAAAAGTGTGGGAAGACGGGAAAGGTTTGGGAAGAGGGGAAAAATTTGGGAAGAGGGAAAAGTTTGGGAAGATGGGAAAAGTTTGGGAAGGCAGGAAAAGGGTTTCCCCACTCGGAGGCAGCTCAAGGGCGGGAAAGATCCACATGCAAGGAAAAGTCTTGGAAAAGTCTTTGGAGCGGGAGGGACGCGGAGCACCCGGAGCACAAACATTCCTCCAGGAATTCCGGAGGCTTCTCTTGGATCTCAACTAAAGGAGCAGCTCCGGGATGGAACAAATCCCGAGGGATTCCAGCTGGAATCGAGGATAAAGTCGCTTTTCCCGCCCTTGGATCCCCAAAATGCCACGGAAAACGTGGAAAACGACCCCAAATGTCACACCAAGCCCCTTAAAAAAATCTTGGAATGCCTTGGAATCTCTTGGAGCTTCGCGGGAAGCTCCTGCAGCACTCGGGGATTGTCCCATCCCTGGGGCACCAGGGATAAAAATCATGGAATGGCAAAGGCGGGAAAAGCCTCTGGAGTCCATCCCAATGTTCCCCCGATCCCTGTTCTCAGGTGCCACATCCACGTCCCAAATCCTGGGATCCATCCCAAATCCTGGGATCCATCCCAAATCCTGGGATCCACAGGGATCCACGATCCCCCCGGGAACGGTGGCGACTCCACCCTCGGGCCAGGGGGAAAATTCCAGGGTGGAATTTTCCCAGTATTCCACCGGAACCTCCCCTGGAACAACTCGAGGCCGTTTCCTCCCATCCCGTCCCTTGTTCCCTGGGAGAAATTCCCAAATCCCACCTGGCTCCACCTTCCCATCAGGGAATTTTTGGGAACAAGGTCCCTCCTGATCCTGCTTTTCTCCAGGATGAGCCTTTCCAGCTCCCTCGGGAAGTTTTCCAAACCCTTCCCAGCTCCCTTCCCATCCCTGGACACACTCCAGCCCCTCAGGATCTTCCTTGTCATTAAACATTCCCAGTATATCCCAAAAAATCCCTGATCCCAGGATTTGAGGGGCCTCAGCACAGGCAGAGGACACTTTTATTCCCTGTTAATGATAATCCCACAAAAAAAGAGGGAAGAAGGAAGAGATTCGAGGTCTCCAACTGGAATTCCTCCCTTTCCCAAACCACGGAGCAAGAGGCACATCCAGGTCCCAAAAATCCTGGGATTTGGTCAAGCCACAAGCTCAGAAATCATGGAAAAGTTGCCTCTGGGGGATGTTCCCTGAGGGAAGGATGATCCAAAGCCTTGGGAAAACGGGATCACCAGCCCAAATCCCACATTCCCTGCAGTCCCGTTTTCCCCAAAAGGAACATCCCAGCAGGGAAAAAAAGGGCGGGAAAAGGCCAACTCGAGGAATTCTCACCCAAATCCAGGGATTTTTTACCCCTAGAACAACACTTTTTAATTGGATATCTTGGCT